TTTGAGGGTTATAAGTGCATCTGTCCAGCTTGCCAGACCTTTCAATATGAAGGTAGAGGGAAGAGATACAATCCACCCAGCCCCATTCTCTCTGAAACTTAATACAGCCTTATGGCTATGGCTCAAAGATTTGTTGAGAGTAAAGGAATCTGACATATATCTGGTCATCTTAAATATTATGTTGTTCATACCTCCATAGTAGCAGCTATATAATCCCAAGCCTACTAGAGTAAGTTTTGTAATTTGAACATGCAAAGTGGTTTCTGGAAGTAATCCTAAGATTGTAATCAGTACTATGTACAGTGATCCTGACATCTTGTGATTTCAGTAACTGCTGCTATTGACTGATCCCTGAATTCTCTGAAATCTATACCTCTGCTAAATTGTATTCACTCAATTGTCCAATGCTACTCTTTTTTTTTTCTTCCCTGTCTTTCTTCATTAAATCATTGCTTCAAATTAATAAAGCAGTCTTTGGTTCTGGTTCAGTTTCTGGGTGTTAATGTTTTCAGTTGTGTTAATATTTGTGGAACAAATGTGGATTGTTATTTCAAAAATATTGGAATTCAATTTAGTGGAAAATCTGAGTCATGTGGCCAAATAGCATAGGCCTAATGGTAATCCAATCTTTCAACTGTAATGTCATAAGTTCTTAAGCTATTTATCTAAAACTACAAAAAAATAATAATCTTAAAGCAAAACAATAAACGGCATGTTAAGTAGCCAAGCTATGCCTGTTTGTAGCCCCATTTTTACTCATACCAGACTGAGGCTTTTCCTGCATTTAACTGTCATGTGTTTCTTACCAACAAGTGAGAACATTAACAACTTGGCAAAAGAACCGCCATATGTTCGGTATATCCTTTTTGAGAGAATTGACTTACTACTATAATGAGAATCATCCATCTCATAAAACATAAATCTCTCTATCTGAGTTCTAATGAGGTATTTTAAGAGTTTGCCTGACATTATTTAAAACGCATGTGTCCTGTTTGAATGTCAAAGCTGACATTTTTCTAAGTGCCAAAAGCCACCTCTTGGCATCTCATACGGGATTTCTGTCAGACTGACACCTTTTGTTAAACATACAGACTACTGAATCTCTAGCAGGGATAGAGGAAAGCATTTTTATGAAGGGAGGTTATGCTCACATAATGATAATGTTCTGAGGTCTTTCTAAAGGTAAGTTGCTGCATTTCCATGATGTATTAATTTTATCAAAATGAGACTAGACTAATGGATTATCGTGCCTGCAATTGGTTGGATGTTTATTTTCAGATATGCATAGTTGCTCGGTACATTGGATAGGAAAGCCAGGCAATCTCTCTTGTGCGAAGGTGTGAAGGAAATCAGATAAAGTAGCCGGAGAAGCAGGGTGTTCTGTTTTGAAAACTAACCTTTCCGTTGGCCTTGCAGCCATGAGCCCTACTTTTCCTCTGCAGAGATGCTGTCATTTTTCTAAGAGCTCTGTATTTGTGAGGCATGTTGTCACTTTTAACATTCCCCCTTTGCCTTTCAGGTGAGACCCAGGCTGAAAGGTCAGGGTGAGTTTTGATAGATTGTTCAGAGATATATGGCTCTAGTTGCTGATTGGCAGATTAGAGAAGAGGATAGAGGAATGGACATGGGTTTCAGGGATGATCACCAGATTGCAACAAATGAACCTTTAGAAGAGGTGATTTGTTTCTCTTTTATCAAATGCCGCTTCCTCTATTGCCATAAAGTGACAACAAAATAAGCACAATGGAAAATTAGAGAATTCTTCAATTCTCTTGGAGCAGTTAGTGCTGTCATGTCAGACTTGGTGCAGGCTACCCATCCTCCTCACCAAAAGCTTCTTTGAAGTCACCAGGCTACTCACTCATTCAATATTTGATAGCACGGTTAGCTTCCAAAATTGTTGATACAGCCAAATGCCACTGTAGTTGTATAGTGACTCAATGATAACGTTTCTATGATGCTGTGGAAAACAGATACATGGGAAACAGTTAAAGTAGGTACTTAAGACTTTTCTCTGCCCTAATATGAATCTTATATGTTCAAAGCAAAAGGAGCCAGAATTTAAAATACAAATACCTAAAAACTGACAGAGAAAAGCTGATTAATCTTTCTTCTAATTCTTCTGATATTATACAAATTTAATACTGCTTAACCCTGCTAAGAGACTGCCACCCTTTGGCAGTTTTGCAATTTTGCTTCCTGCAAAGCTTGCAAATCTCCCTTCCTCCCTCCTTTCTAAAGTGAAATAAAGAAGAAAGGGTGTTTGAAGTCTAGATGTATGATATAACTAAAAAAGTAAATTGATGGTAAATTGTATTCCTATATTTGCCTTGTGAACTTCTCAGTTCAAAGATCCTGCAGTGACTGCAGTCCTTGCATAAATCACAGAAACTCAGTTTCAGTCCAGATCTGACATGCCAATCATCAACCTCAGGGAGGAAACAATTAAGCAGGATCATAATGAGCTTCAATAGGAAAATTGCTGAGTTGATTCCCTTTCTTGCCTAATTGCCAATAAATTGGGCTTGGAGATGTTTGGCTGTCATTCTGTGAGGTCCATGTGATTATTAGAAATGCATATTTACAGAGCAACACAGACATGGCTCTCATTTGTGTGTAGCTAATTTTAATCCTTCTATAACTCTCTACAGAATTGCTACTTTGAACCACTTTAAAATAAAAATAGCATTTGTCCAGAATTAATACATGCTTTTTGTAATTCTGCACTCTTATGTGAAATGAAGTTGTGCAAAAGATTTTCCAGTTCCTGCTATTCAGACATCTTACTTTCCAAACATTGTGTTAAAATGGAAGCAGATTGAGTAAAAGCCAGGATATTTCTAATTTATAGCCTAGCCCTAAAGGAAAATCCACAATTTTTTCCTCTAACCCTTTTTTATAAAGCCTTCCTCATTGCCACTCAAATGATTTTCATCTGCCATTTACACTCTAAGGTAGAGCACATGTACCTACGCTAGACAGAGGACTCAGTATTGTAATCATCCATTCATGCACTCAGCTACCCACAGCTTGGATATATGGATCTATCCCCAGTCAAGGAACAAATGATCAGGAGTCCCTTTTTCTGGTGCTTCCCTGCAATTGTTATTGGCACACTGTTCAAATAATATATTTGTTTTATGCTCAGAATTTCTAACAATAATTAAAATACAAAAAGTATAAAATATAATTAATATTAAAATTAACTATTATATAAGTTTTGTGGAGGGGGCATAAATTTACAGATTTTCTAAATTTAGAGAAAGTGGAAGCTAAACATGAATCTCATTAAGTTTTCATTGTTCCAACATGCAAAAACAGTTCTTTGGGCCAGATCTTTTGAGTTACAAAATTGTTTCTGCCACACTTCATCCGAATACCTAAACAGCAAGGTATAAACTTTCAAACTGTTTAAAAGTACAAAGCATGAATGCCCCCTAGAAGGTAGCAGGAGCCAGTCTTCTCTGATCAGTTTATTTCTATTTTTCAGATCTGGTACAACAATAGAGAGGGCTCTCTATATCATTTTTATGAAATAGCAGAACAAAATGAACTTCATTAGTTCTCCTCAGATACAGACTTTATACTGCTTCAATTTATTGTTGTAAATGATTTAGGTGACAGTAGTTTATTCACATTATTTTTCCTTCTATTCCAATAATATGAAAACTGAATTTAACCTCCATTGCCTTGGTGTGGGAGGCCAGAAACAGCAATTTCTGTTCATGGTGCTGTTTTCTTTGGCAAACAGAAATGGATTCAGACTCTGACAAGCAGACAGGTTAATGCCTTTTTTCTTGGTTCAAGAGTACATAATTTTTGTGAGTGAAAGCTGCCTTCTGCAATCAATGGAATCTCAACTTCTGGAATCACAAATGAAGTATTTATTCCCCAAGAAGTACCAGGTCCCATTCTTGGAATAGCTGCTTAAAATAGTCGTTTATTTATTTATTTATTTTGCCTTTATCATTCTAAACCTACATCTCCCATAACCTGGAAGACAACAATATAGGATTTAGTTCATTCACAGTGGCAGGATAAGAAGGAAGAGTGATACTGTTTCAGTATATTTATATGTAATGTGAATTTGGCAGAGTTTAGTATTCAGCCTGGTTGCTTGGATTGATATGATTACTATTTGGACCCTTTTTAAAGAAAGGGAATGGTAGCATGGAAGGGGTCTCACCCAAGATGTATTTTAAAATTTGAAGTAGTTTAAAATTCAAAGCAGCAAAGCCAATGAAATATCAAGAGTTATGTTAGTATTAAGTACATTGAACAAAAAACCAACGGCACAGGATAGAGTGAATAGAAAATGTATGGCCTGCAAAATCTTCAGATAAACTTTCTGTATCTAGGCCTTTCAAAGGTCCTGGCTGTCCTACCTACTGATGTTGTTACTTGTTGATGTTGTTAGTAGAAAGAACAGTATAATTATATGTAAAATACAATAGAAACAAGGAATTTTTCAAGTTGAAAAAGTTGTGGTTCTTTCTATTGCTAGGCTTAAGAGTAAATTAATTATACTTTGTTGTGGAATGAAGTGTATTTAATAGATTAAGATAGTTAAAGAAAGGTAATGAACTAAGATTAGATTCCTTTGGATTTATTTATTTACTGTGCGTTTATTGGGGTTGTATTTTGTTTTTGGGTTCATATAACACATAGAACTATTTACAACAATTTAAAATATTGTATAATATCTTGCTATGGAAAAAATATTCAGCATAGTTATCTTAAGTCTGGATTCTTGATAGCTTCTCCATATGGGAGAAATTTATTTGGAACATAAAAAGCAATTGAAAAGGTATCAATAATTTGTTTGACTATGAAGCTATGAAGACTGGGCACAACAGATGCTCTATAGTAACAAGCATGGATATCCTACAAGCAGCAACAGGCATCATCTGTCCTCTTGTGTTCATGTTTGCAATAAGAATACAGAACAATAACATACATCTTGTTATAACCGGTGTTGTTTATGTTTTGTTTCTACATAGGGGCTCTCCAAATTGAAAACAGCGAGGAGTCGGATCAAGGCAAATATGAATGTGTCGCTACAAACAGTGCAGGGACCCGTTACTCTGCTCCAGCAAACCTTTATGTGCGAGGTAAAGTTTGAGAAGGCAAGCTTTCATCCCTTTCCCCCTTCTCTTCCATGGTCATTGCCTCTCAAATCACCCATTCAACATTGCAGCAAGAGAATACTTCAGTGATGCTTTGTGAGTGATGAAACTAAAATCCCTAACCTATGAATTCAAGCCCTGGAAGACCCTTCCTTTCCTTTGGGGGTAATATGAGTGATGATCAGATGAAAACAGTCGATGTGAGAATCTGTCTTTTCGTGGGGGAAGGGGGGGGGGAGAAAAAGAAAGACATTTGTGGGGCTCTGTAAAATTAGTGGGTTTCTCTTCCTAGGTTTGATCTGTTCTCTGGCAGGTGAACACTATAGTACATTGGCCCAGGAATAGATGTAGCTTTCATGTGTTCTATTGATCAACACCTCCTCTACAACAGGGATAATTGCTGAACCTATTAGAATAGTTGTGATTCCTGCTGTGATCCAGCTGCAGTTTGTTTCATAAAGCCATTTTGCCAGACTATTTTCAAATCTCTGTTTCATTCCTGTGCTCAAAATAGGAAGAGCCTTGATTTCTGTTTGTAGGTCAAAGAATCCAATACTTCATTAAGAACATGCTTTTTTCTGGAGTGTTTTACAAGAAGATAAAATTTTGCATCAGCCAAGAAAAAGTGATGTGAGAGACTCTTCATGGTTAAAGGTCTGACACTTGTCTAAAAGAGGGGGGGCTGAGTGTAGTAGCCTTTGATGGGCAGATAAAGTGGTATTTTATTTTTACCCAGAGTCTAGATTCTAACAACTGCTTGTTTAAATAGAACTTTTCCTCCCTCCCTCCCTTCCTTTCTATTCTCACTCCCAGCCACCTCTGAACATATATAGGTAAAGGTAAAGGTTCCCCTCACACATATGTGCTAGTCATTCCTGACTCTAGGGGGGCGGTGCTCATCTCCGTTTCAAAGCCGAAGAGCCAGCGCTGTCTGAAGATGTCTCCGTGGTCATGTGGCCAGCATGACTAAACGTCCAAGGCACACAGAGCATTGTTACCTTCCTGCCAAGATGGTCCCTATTTTTCTACTTGCATTTTTACATGCTTTCGAACTGCTAGTGGTTGGCAGAAGCTGGGACAAGTAACAGGAACTCACTCCATTACATGCTGCTAGGGATTCGACCCGCCAAACTGCTGAACTTTCTGATCGACAAACTCAGTGTCTTAACCACTGAGCCACTACGTCCCTTGAACATATATACATAGACCATTTATAACAGAAAGTTGCCTTAACCAAGGCCAGGAATGGTTACTCTAAGAAAAGACCAAAATGACACGCTGGAAGTTCGCTTGTCACTTTCTCAATTGCTGTCATAGTGTTTAGACCTCATTTTCTACAGCTGCCTTTCCTTTTTACAAAACAATTTTGACAAACTTACAAAAAGCTGAAGTTTAAAATATGCTTAGAGCTCAGTATAAACACCCATTTCACAACTGTAATGTGATCATGCTTGACCTCATACTTTTTGTATTATTATAAAAAAAAATTCAGACCAAATCTAGTAAAACGAATACTCTGTCTCTAGAGAGCAGGAGGGGCAGAAATGTTTATTTGAATGTATGTCACTCTTAACACTGTTGGATAAGCAATTGCACGTTTTCAGCCACATTCTTTTTTAAGTGCTTTTCCCTTTGTCTAGGCTTGCAAACAGACTTGGGAAAGCTAATGTTTCACCTGAATGCCCAGCTTGCCAAGCCAAAGGAACTTCTCAAAACTGGCCCGATTCCCTGTTTGCTGAGTCTTTATTTAGATAGAGAAACTCCCTTTGGATTTTAAGTAGTGCAGTAAAGTGTGGCCTCAAGTCTTGATGTGAAAAGCATGTTGTTCATCTAGCTGACTGGTTGGCTGCGTCTGCAGATAAGGTGACATGAGCCCAGCTTCTGCTACGAAGATTTTTCAGCCCTGCGTGTATGGCTCATTTTCCATTTAACCGTTGTGCTTCTGAAGCACAAATTTTGGAATAAAACTCCATTTTACTGAAAATAATCTCTACAAGGTTGGATTCCAACCTGCAGAATTGTGATAAAGCCCATAGTATATAAAAGCTAGGTTACTACATAAATTGTCTCCTGTGGAAGTTTGCCACCGGTATGGTTAGCCAGGCAATATTTATGCAAGTGCTTTTTTTTTCTTTTTTTTTTTTGCAAAACAAAGTAGATATCCTAACCAGTTGACCAATATTTTATTTTTTTGCAATTCTCTACCATTTTTATACCTGTTTTATATACAATTAGGAAGTTGTTTTCCTTGGCTTCTTATATCTGAGTAAGCAAAATAAGGGATGTGTAAGATCATTGTGCATATTACTGTAGCCATATAATTATCTTATAATTTAATTGTTTGGGAGCTCATGATATTTCTGTCATGATGGTGGTTTTCTCCTTGGCATCAGTAGGGGTTAAGGGAGGGAGAGGGAAGAATTGCTTTTTTCCCACTGTGATTGCTACACATATATATTGTACATACGTTTGTTTTTATGCCTCCTTGGTCCCCAAAAAATAGATCTTTCCCAAAAAGTAAAGATGTCTAAACAATAATCACTTCTTTCTCTTACATGAAATTGTTTGTACAGTGCAATCCTATTCTATGGTCTGCTATATTCCTTATCAATGAAAAAGGCTGGTCAGAATGAAAGATTAAACTTTTTCTGCAGAAGAAATTGATTTAAAAGAATTCTTCTTCAAGGGTGTCTAGATGAGATTTTGGTGGGGAGCAAAACCACTGTTATTCTGACTGAAAGGTCTAGTATTGCACCTTAATTCTGATATTATTTGTTTTTTTGTGGCACATAATTCTTTAATGTTGCCGTAGGAATTTTTTTAGCATTGGAATGTAATATAGAAAATATCTGTCTCCTTTAAAAATTAATTTTGCTAAATTGCCCAACATTTTTAGCCCTTCTTTTAGACTGCAATCCAAAGAGGGATTTTTATATTTTTGTAAAATAAATTTACAATATGGGTAAATTTAATTTCTGGTAATTAGATTGCCTGGTCTTTAATAATGTGCAATGGGAATAGTGCTGTAGCATATCAGTGATAAAGAGCCCAGTTTGATATAATAGTTTAAGGCACCAGACTAGAACCAAGAGATCATTAGGCACAAAGCCAACTGGGTGATCTTGAGCCAACCACTTTCTCAGTCCTAGGAAAGAGGCGATAAATAAGCCATATCTTGACAAGGAAACTTGTCAAGATATGGCTTACTGAATATCTTGACAAGGAAACTGCAGAGACTTGTCTAGGGACTTGCCAGTAGTCAAAACTGACTCAAAGCCCCTCCAAGAAAACAAAAAGACAGTAATCAGTGGTAGTCCCAAAGATACTTTTTTTCAAAATACAATTGGAAACTTTTTCCTTGAAGATGTTTTGCTTGTTATCCAAGAAGCTTCTTCAGTTCTGATTAAATGATGAAGGATGGAAGGACATATATTCCTTGCAGTCATCTGGTCATTAGTACTCTTTCTGAGAGTTGTGGAGGCAAATTGGGGGTTTATCTGTGCCCTCAGGGTCACCTGAAATGAACAACAAATGAAGCAATGTTGTCATTCCATACATTGTAGAAATATCTGAAAAGTTCAGGAGGATTTTTAACCAACACAATATACATACACACTTTAAACCTAAAAATACACTAAGGCAGAAGTTTGTCCACCCCAAGGATAAAACACTCAGACACAAACTGAGCAATATGATATATGCAGTACAATGCAATGAGACCTGTACAGATCTGTACATTGAAGAAACAAAACAACTACTTCACCAACACATGGCACAACTTAGGAGAACAAATCCATCAGGACCAGATTCAGCTGTCCATCTGCATTTGAAAGACAAAGGCCACACTTCTGAAGACAGCAAAATCCACATTCTGGACAGAGAGGACTGCAGGTTTGAAAGAAAGATCAAAGAGGCCATCTACATTATGATTGAATAGCCCTCTCTCAACAGGGGAGTGATAGGACACCACCTATCTCCTGTTTACAACACACAGTCCTTTCAGCAGTTCCAAGAATGTTGCACACCTATTTGCACTATTCAGGTGACCCTGAGGGTATAGATACACCTCCAAGAGGCCTCCACAACTCTCAGAGTGCTAACGACCAGATGACTGCAAGGAATACAGGTAATCCTCAACTTACGATCACAATTGAGCCCCAACATTATGTTGTTAAGTGATAAATTTGTTAAGTGAGTTTTGCCCCATTTTATGACTTTTCCACATTTTTTAAGCGAATCACTGCAGTTGTTAAATTACAAACACAGTTGTTGAGTGAATATAGCTTCCGCACTGTCTCTGCTTGTCGGAAGATTTTAAAAGGGGTTCACATGACCCCAGTTTACAGCAAATCATACACATGAACTAGTTGTCAAGCATCCAAATGTAAATCACATGACCTTGGGGATGCTGCAGTGGTCATAAGTGTGAAAATGGTTATAAGTCGCTTTTTCAGTGCCGTTGTAACTTCAAACGGTCACTAAATGAATGGTTGTAAATCGAGAACTATCTGTATAAATCCTTCCACCATTCAGTCAAAACTGAAGAAGTCCAGTTGCCTTTTGGAAAAAATCACCTCCATGATCTGGATAACTTTAGAATCTCCAGAGACAACCAGTGATAGTGAAGCATTGGACTATCCAAACTGCCCACTACCAGACTGGCCTCATAATGTAACAGGTTCTTTGAGTATAGACTTTATTGGAAGATACACATTTAAGTTAAGACCCGCAAATATTACGTTCAGTAAAATCAAATAGAGGTTGCACAACAATTCAAAAGGTTAATAACTGTTAGTTCTTACTTCAGCCTGTTAACTCTTAACTATGGGCAAACAGTAATTCTAAAAATGCATATCGTCTTTCTAAAATCCAGTTATGCCTGAGTTCCATGGATTTAAGGGGAACTTTAAGCAATGTGTAATTTTTAACTCTGGTGAAAACTGTGTAGGTATTCCTTGACTTACAACCACCATTGGGACCATAAT